CCACTGCGAATCATTGCAAAGGCCAGATATGCATTCAATCACCTCCGAACGATACTTAGGGAAGTCTCGAATGTAGAACGCGTTCCTGAGTGATTGAGAAACGTCCAGAACTCTTTTCTTTATCCTTCATGTATTTGTTTATGTACAGCTGATGTGCTCGTGCACATATATATGCATATGTATTGGTGTTTAAATATATATATATATGTATATATATACTTGCACCTGTGTTAGGGTATGTAGTACGCTTGGAAACTGATTGATGAAGCATTTATTCCAGAAAAAAATACGTGAACTAGCAGAAACCGCATGATTTCGGGCAGGCCAATTTCTTAAACTTGTCGTCGTAGTTGTCATCATTACAGAAGTCCCACTGCAGCAATTTAGTACACCTGAATAATTTTTTGAACCCTAAAAAACAACTTGTGACAATGCTTTAAATGAACATACAGATTAATGTCTTTGCAGCTTTTGTTGGGCTTCTTAGCTGGCTGAGGAGTTGTCTCGTCCCCCTCAGTTTCCGTATCCACAGCACCCGTTCCAGTGGAAGCTGCAACAATTCGTGTAGCAAAAGTGGTTACAGAACTAGTTCACTTAATGCAGGCATTTATTTCTACATTACCGATTCGATAACGTAAGACGGTTTTGACTTCGTAGAGCCTGCTGAATGTAATTATAGGGACGATATTGTGCGTAGAGACCAAGGATGTTCCAGCAAATCTTGGAGAACAGAATCTAAACAGTACAAAATATCGGAGCCATAGATCAGCTACGTTAGAGTTACTCATTCCTACGCTCTTACCTGTAACCAGTACGACGTTTATCACTTCCTGTTTTAATTTCAACTCCAGCATAATTGCAGCCATCGTTAGACACGCCGTGCGAGAACTCATCAAGTATCACCTCGATCGTTGAGCCAGCTGGTCCCTTGAAGATTATTTGTCTTAGCACCAACTCTGCCAGAGGTTAATGCAGATATACCTTAATCCAATAGTGGCACATCGTAAACTCATCTTTTGCATTACGTGCACCTCTCTCACCCACGGTGTCCTCAAGCGTTTGATAGGAGGTGGTAGCTGTTAGTGTCCTACCGCATCCACTTGGCTGTAAAGTACACTTACTGCATTTATGTCAGCTGCACAGAACCAACTTTTTATTGCTAATTCTGTTAACTCTTTCGTCGCAAAGTGTTCCGCCATATCCGCTTGGGCAGGTGCATTTAGAGCAGTCTCTTGGATGTGGAAACCCACCATTCTTGCACTTTGCTGAAGACTCACTCTTGCATTTGTCTAAAGTGATTCGGTTTTAATGAACCATAGAGAAATGACAGGAAATCGAAAACACATGTTGTACTGCTCTCACCGAGACACTTATAGTGAAGGTTCATCATCAGTTTCTCGTAGAACGAAAGTACGCGTGTTCCAAGAGTTTGGATATATTTCATATCACGTGGGACCATGACAGGTTGACCGTTCCGTGAGACGCTAAAATTGAAGTGATTATCACTTATGATTGAACACGGAAATACTGAACAATTGAGTAACCTTAATGCTCCGTAATGCATAATGCTTCCATAGTCGTAGGTCAGGTTATAGTTAAAGTTCGTGTGTTCACTTTGCTTTGTAAATTGAGATATCCAGCCGTTCTAGAACCACATGATTCCGTTTATTTACATCTAAACTATGAGTGTGCTTCAAATCACCAAGAAGTTTTGCACATAGAGTGTGATGAAATCGTCACGATCGTGCCTCGACTGTGTGTGAAAGAAACCCAATGAGTGTCCGATTTCGTGCACAGCGGTTCCAACCTACACAAAATACGAAAGTGATGTAGTTTGGAATTAATAGTAGTCTCTTTCTCTTATCCTAGAAAATTCAACGAGAAAAATGAAGATATGAAAAAGCCATCGTACCTGTTCGCATCTCGGCCCCAATGAGAGAGTCTGAATGCCTCCAATTCTTCCAATATTTGAATAACATCCAGGACCTTGGAAGACGACAATCCTACCCGAAGCTTAAATTTTTTGGCGGGTTCTTTAAGTTTTCACAGGTTTCAATCACTTTTTTTGTCACACCTGTGTTATCTTCAAAGAAATTAATGCATGTTTCGTCCTGCCATATTTGGGTAGCTTTTCTGAAAACCCGCCTTGCTCCATGCGCTGAAATTAGTTAGAAAATTATTATGCTCAGCGTTTGTTGCCTTCACTCAAAGAGCACATGAAGGAGTGCCAGAGTGCCAAGTGTGCGACTTCACCACCTTTAATTGAGTGAATTAATGCTCGTCTGGCCTGTACAATTAGTACCGGTAGCCTACCGATGTATTAAGTTGGTCGCTTTAATTTTTCCAGACAAGCCCGAGAATAATTTGCCGAAGCAGTGGTACGTAAATGTTGGGGACCGATCGCTTATTTAATGCACATCTCCTAAGAATAGGTTGAAAAACGACGAAACGAACTTGCGTTCCAGTGAAAGGAATAGGACACTCCATTTGACCACAGAGCATTGGGATATCTACTGTCACGATATGCCTGTCGTTTGCTGCGGTTGGCTTTGTTTTCCTTAACGTCCTCTATGATCTCATCGGCTTGTTCTCTAAAAACAACAATGCTTTTTGAGAACTTAGAAAGGAAATGCTAGGGTGGACCAACTTAGTAAGTAGTATGTCTCCTTGAAACAGTGCTCTGTCTACTTTGGTGTCCAAATTGATTTCTTCGATTGTTTGACCCATTAGTTGACCATGATCGTTTTCGATTTCAACGTAATTCTAAAGACGAGTTCATTACACGGTCTTTCCTGCGAGACGATGCACTCACCTTCATTTCTTCCTGTAATTCAGCTTTCCGCTCTGGCGATAGAATGAGTTCCTGTTTGATTTGCGGCTCCATCTTATGCAGTTGCCCGAGAAGTTCCTTTGTATTATCGGCATTCGGCACCTAGGAAAAGAAGAGGACTTAGAAAAAAGACCCTATGGTTCGATAACGATTTTAAAAAATCGGTTTCTCAGCCTTACGCCTTTTAGCATCTGATATCCTTGTTCGAGTTCATTTTCGAAATTGTCATCGCTGGCCAAGCGTTCATCTCTCGATTCAACGCCGTTCTTCAATTCCGCCCTAATGGAAAGAGTGAGAAATAACAGTAGCACAACGTCCATCTTAAAAGGAGATTGTGAAAAATTGTAGCCTTGAAAGTGAATACGAGAGGTGCCGGCGGGATAGTTCTATCAGGGGATTCACCTTGATTATATACGGTTTTGAATATTTGCTACCTGCACAACCAGCGAAGTATTTGAAGTCTAGAAAGTACCATAACAAAGCGTATTGTTAATTGCTCAACTGTTGTTTATAGAATTTTGAGCAAAATATTTGAATACACATCAGATTTTAATGAATGGAAGCTTTCACTTTTCCGTTGTTTCCTGGATTCTGTGCTCGATTAGCGCCAAGCGATTACTCATATCTGACTGTGTTTGTTCAACACCAATTTTTCATAATCAAAACAGACGGTGTTCGGGTGGCTTAAGTCGCATCGTTACGAAAGAAATTCTCAATGTTAACTAATTATTTTCTGCTTATTATAATTTTTCATGGCAGGATATTACGTGTGATCGCGATGATCGATGAAATTAGTTGAGAGACATGCGAAACAAAGGACCCGCGTGGTGTGGTGGTGAATGCGTTAGACCCCGGAGAGGGTAATAATGCGTTCGTTCTCCACCGTAGAAGCCTGCAGTCCTGAGTTTTGCAAATGTCTCAGAAATTCTCAAATTTTCGAGAAGATTTCTTTGCACTGGTTGTTTCATAATCTCCTCCTTCATTTGAACAATTTAGCACTATTTAGAATTGGAGTAATTTATTTTAAAACCACATTTCACTAAAGCTCGGTTTAGCAAAGGGAAAATACGGATGAAAAACTTTTATTTGGTTTGCGTTTCCATGCCTTCGCCTTTTCAGAGCAGCTTTTCTTTCTACCAACCTCGGGTCAGCTCAGTCATATAGAAAATTATTTTCGTAATATACTTGTAAAACACCATCGGATTTTCTGAGAGCTTGTGCTGATAGCGTCATCATGGGAACGCAGTGGAGGGTAGAGGTGTGTTCCACCTCCAAATGCTTTTTGTTCGCCACCGAACAATTGGTGCTACTCAGAAATTTGCGCGTAATAAAATTGCAATTGTTTGCGCACACTTGCGCACAAGCGTCGCCTTCGAAATAAAATTACGATTCTTCACATTCTTGTTAACGAAATAGAAGGTGTCATTTTATTTTTTTTTATTACGGGTAAGCTGGCGTTTCGGTGGATTTCGCCTTCCTCTGAGCCTGGAAGGGTCAAGTTGACCACAATCTAGCCAGCCAAACACCTCCACAACCAAGCAGAAAAAATGCTAAACCAAGATTGCAATCACATTGAATACAGAATAGCATAGTTGCACCCTCACCGCTTTCTATGAGTTTCCCACTGAATATGCACGTGAAAAGGAGCATGTGGCCCAGTGGTCGGAGGCTCCCTGCAACACGCCCGTGGAATCGGTTTCCGCGCTTGTGGCCCACCAAGCTTTTCATCTTTCCGGGGTTGGAGGTTGGGGTTGCTACCAGACTTGTCTGGGTGGATAACAAGTATTACCGGCTGGATACATCGGTAGGCCACCGCGAGTCATTGCAAAGGTCAGTTATGCATTCAATCACCTCTAAACGATGCTTAATGAAGTCGAATGCACGACGCATCCCTCAATGATTGATCAACGCCGAGAGTTTTATCTCTTATTTATAACACGTGGACAACAATCACGCCGAGTTCATATGGAAGCGAAATGTGTCTCTCAAATTAGAACCATGTCAAAAAACTATTATTCACATTTTTGGTATGTTTGAAAATTCAGTGATGTTGTACATCTCGGCAACACTGAATAGTGCTGTGAATTTTTTACTATGTTCTTCCTATTAATCACTCATCTTTCTTCCAACGGTTTACCTTTTCATCGTGGTTAGAAGGTGTTCTTCGGTGCTGGACTGCGATTTACAGAGAGGGATTCATCACACCGACAGGTTTTCCCAAGCTGAGAAGGAGACCGGCGTTTCTATCAGGAAGCCTAGCTAAGAGTAAACTAGTACCAGAATCCACCACCGTTCTGGTATCAAAGTCGCACGGTGGCAAATCTCCCTCACATCCACAAGAGTTGCGACTGCCTGGGGCGGTGAAGACCTAGGGCGGACTTTGGTTAGGCTGACCTCGGGACTCCAGGAAACCACAATGGCTAGGCCAGCAAAACTCCAAAGAAACAGAAATTATGAAGGGATACGCACAATCAATGAAGACGGTCCATCTAAAGATCCAAGTATCCAAGTAATCACTCATCTTTATTTGTATCATTATATTTATTTCATCGTTAGTAGAAATCCGGTACTGCGTTTGTGAATTAGTCAGTTCGGGTTTACCGAGCTGTTGTAAACCTTTCCTAGGGCTGCTAAAAAAATTTTCTCTGACTGCATTCGGTTCAACTTGTCAAACCACATGCCTTAGAAACTCGTCCAGCTTTTTTTCAAATATTTGCAGTAGGATGATGAAGACTCAAGACCATAGCACCTCTACCATCTGACGCCGTCGTTATGCGTTTCACAGCTTTTAGATTGGAAATCGCTTTTCCATCTAATGTTACTTTACTACACAAAGAAAAAAAATTGCATAAAGGCAACGACGATTTTTACACGAAAAAAGGACAAAGCTCTCGGCGTTGATCAATCTTTGAGGGATGCGCCGTGCATTTGGCTTCACTAAGCATCGTTGGAAATGATTGAGTGCATAGCTGAACCGGTCTTTGCAGTGACTCGTGGTGGCCTCCTCATATATCGAGTCATGGCTGTTATCCTCCCAGACAACTCTGACACCAATTCGCCGGAGCCATAGGGATGAAATACTTGGTGAGCTGGCGAGATGGATCGATCCCAATCATTTTTTGGCTGGAAATTCGCACAGTGCCAGTGGTTTCTTAGTGTTGTCAGTATACCATTGATGAATTTATCAATAACTATGCGAACCGACATAATCGGAAGACGAGGAGAAAATTTACATTTGCCTCGTAGTTCCGTTGTGATTTCCAAAGTATAGAGATCAGTCTGCCGTATTGAATAAGCAGCTGTATTTGCATCATTTTATCGAAGAATTCCCTATTATTTCAAGTCAAAACAAAATGCTCGTGATCTCTTCAGAAAAACCTGATCCATAGTTGTTACCCATTCGGGTAGAAATGCTTCGCGGTGTGAATAGATACATGGATGTGTGGATGGATTGATGGATGTGTGGATGAATGGATGGATGGATGGAACTCTGGATGTGTGAATGGATGTGTGGATGGATGGAGGTATGGGTTGATCTGTTGATGTGTGGGTGGATGTGTGGATGAGCTGGTGAATGTGTGGATGGGTGTGCTAGTGGATGTGTGGAAGGATGTGTGAATGGATGGAAGGATGTGTGGATGGATGGGTGCATGTGTGGATGGATGGAGGGTTGGATGGATGTGTGAATGGATGTATGGATTTGTTGATGAATGGATCGATGGCAGGCGGGATAACGGATAGAATAACCTGGTTTTTAACCCTAATACTTACCCAGTTGCTTAACCACAATCCAGCTCACCTCACAAACACCCAAATGTTCCTAGAAGGTCTACGTTTCGCGTCTCCTAATAACGTGTACGTAATAGGGTCTTTCAACGTTACCGCGCTGTATACCAACGTGTCGAATGGCTCTGCAATGCAAGCCATCTTCGAGCTTCATGTTGAACATAAAGGAGATAGAAATATGCATGACTTAACCATCTAGCAGCCAATGACCCTCTTAAAGAAGTCCCTAAACTGCTCGGTTTTCAGATGGACTGGGAAATACTTCGCGCAAACAAGGGGGGTGGCATTGGGACAGCGACTGGCATCAAGCATTGTGTTTATGTCTAAGATAAAAACTCCTGTTCTCGATCTCCAGCCATTACTCTACTGCAGATATGTAGATGACCGTTTTGTCGTCTTCTCTACGCAGGATGAAATCAACAAATGCTTTGAATTATTGAACGAGCAGTCTGAGTACATAAAGTTCACCCGGCAGAAACCAAGAAAAACTTGGCTCCCTTTTTTGGACGTTCAAATAAACCTATCAAGCAGCGGTTACTTGACAAAGTGGTATCGAAAGCCAAGTAACGAAAAGATTCTTATTCATTTCCTTTTTTCCTACTCTTCACACGCAAAGAGGCCGATTGTGAGAAACATGTTTCGAACAGCCACCTCTGTGTGCACTACCAGGAAACTAAAGGAAGAATCGCGCAACTTGGCTCGGCAAATAGCCATCTCCAATGGCTACGAAATAGTAACCCCATGAGATAAGTTTAGAAGGAGAGGCCACCAGCCCACGCGAAACACTTGGCCAAAAGAAAGTCCCGTTTATGTTGCATTTTATAAGCGATGAAGTAAGCGTAGCTATAAACGATGCTTAAGAAGAGCAGGTCTAGAGGAATCGGTAGTGATAGTTGAAATACCACCAGCTACTCTATGTCGTGAGGTAGTTCGTAACCGCCTGTATGACCGTCTGTGTGAAACAACAAATTGCGTAATTTGCCCTTACGGCAGGGATGGTGACTGCATGAGTTCAGGTACGATATACCTGATCTCTTGTAATAATTGCGGAGATGAATAAATTGGCGAAACGAGCAGACCTTTGTGTATCCGTATAAAAGAACACCTCGATAGCAAATGAAAACTAAGACAAAGTACCCCACTAGGGCACGCATAGCATGCAAAAGTACAACGGAGACGATTTTGAAGTAAAAGTCAATATCCTTGCACAGGAGTCCAAAACACCAGCGCGATAACTTTTTGAGACTTTTTGGACAAATACCAAAAACCCTACAATGAATAGCAGGGATGAATGCCCAGAGGTCATACCCGACCTGAGTCCGTATGTTCGCATCAATTTCTGATGTGTGATGGTGCAGTCATCAACCGTGTGCGACTATATTTACCTGCTCTAATCTTCCTCATTGGAAGTCAAGAAAAAAGACGGTGAGTTTTTTAGAGAAGCTGTTGATCATGTTCACCATAGTTCTTCGTCTTTTTGTAAGTGTTATTGAAGCGTTTGGCCCAGTAGACTGTATATCAGTATAACCTTCCA